ATCTGCGAGTTTAGTGCAAAAACGCATGATCGCACCGGAGAGCCTGGTGCGTTCCAGCCTGGGTTCCAAATTATTACCGCGCAGAGCACACTTTCAATGATTGCCGGCTTTTCGCTTAACTTCCGCGACAGTCATTTTGCTGCGACCCCAACTGTTTTATCTCCCGATGGAACTACTGTCTCAGAGTTTTTTCAGCAGAATTACTCAACAGTTCCGAGGTATCACTGGGGTGCTGAGTGTCGCCAAATTCATCTTAAATACTGCCGCATCCAGATCACGTTGAGGGAATTTACCGAATAAGAGCTGGAAGATCACTGCTTAAAAAAATTACAACCAAAGAGACGCATTTTATCAAAACGTTTCGAACCTGATGGAGAAGCTTCCGGCCGCTTCGAGCTCGACTCCTTCCACCACATCCAGCCTGTCATTCCATCCATCACTGCAGATCCACTGAAATGGTCGCATTTTCGGGAATTGCTGCCGTAGGCGTTGCTGCGCTTTGAACATCATATGCATAGTACGGCCCTCGCAAAAGCATACAACCACTTGTGGTACCGACTTTTGACTCCTGAATTTCTTTTGTTTTATTTATAAACTGTGGTTTGGGTTAACACTGTGGATTGTGTCTTGCAACAAAAGTATTAATTACCACCCGAAACATCGCGGATTAAGCGACCATTACGACTGCTTTGGCAAAAAAAACCACAGAATAAAATCTCAAAACCTTCAATCTTATATTTTATAGTTCTTCAATATTTCTCTAATTTACACCAACGTCAGAACAGCCGCGGCAATGAAATCTACTTGGGAAACTGAGCGGGAACACATATGACGGAACGAACAGCAACATTTGATTTCAGAACAGCAACACTTGATTTCAATTATATTTTTTATCTCTCTTCTGTATTAGATATCTTTCTTAATAGTTTTGTTCGTTCTGAGCATTCTTTTAAACTTTTCTAGCACATAATTCCTCCTTTTACAGTTATTCTAAAAATCACATTATGCCAAAGGCTCCCAGGCATTCAGTATGATGATCATACGTTAACGAAATTACAGAGATGCTTCTACTCTCTAGATGCAATTGTTCCAGGTCCTTCGCTCTTGAAAAATTCAGAACCATGTTTCACAAACGAAAAAATGCTGATGAAACTAATCCGTACCTTAGTGAATTGAGAATTTTATCAAATTCAGCAGGATCTGCCAGACTTTTCACTTTTTCCGAATAAGCAATACATACACTTTGTGCTACGTTATCATTTATCATACGTTCGAGCTCTTCAAAACCTTTCTCGCCATAGTTCCCTGGAGAGGAAAACAATTTTTAGCTCGTTATAAGCTCTAAAAAGTAGTATTTCGTCAGAATTTCGAATTGATGACAAATTCCGCAATTATGATATTACGCTGTATTTAAATCTGGGGACACAAAAAATTCAAGAAGTCCTAGGATTTGGATGGAGTGATCAAATTTTTATCGACACGAACTGATTGCAATGACGTAATGTCCGAAAACAGTACAACAGTAAAACAATGAACCAAGTCTATACTGCATTTCACATTTCCCATGTGACTCACGAAGCACTTTTCTGAGATCGATGCAAATCTTAGCGGTGATGACGCACCAAGCACTTTTTTAGCCGACCATCGGTTTAGTACATAAGTAAGCGAGGCGACAAAATTTCTCCTACACTGTGACTCACGTAGAAAAAAACATCCTGGAAAGTGATTAGCTGCACTAAAAGTTTTAACGGGGGATTAAAATTTGACGTATTTCTTCAGAAATAACATTTGAATGAGTAGTATCCTCTAGAAACCAAATGTCCGCCTGCAATTTTATTCAGATTTTGTGTTTTGTCCCTCACTGAACAGAAGGTATTAAACAATTTGCCTTAATTCTCTCTCTGCATAAGAAGCAGTAGGGAAGTACTTCAGATTGTTGCGCATATACCCAAAAGAAGACATTTAAAACTACCCGATGGCCTGCTTTTTTTATAGTCCTTGAATTTTTAAATGCCAAACCAGCTGAATAAATGACCGCCACATAGGTCCAGTTGAAATGCTCCAACATAGCAATAACAAGTCGAGCTTGCCAGGCATCTGCCGGTACCACTCGCATGAAGTATCCATATTGATCCTTATCGGAGAGATCAGTGGTTGTTGCACCATAACCTTAAAATTAAGGTATTCAGAGTTGCTCAGATAGTTCTTTGAAGAAACGCTTCACCTGGTCCAAACCAAGTTCTTTGACCTTAAACTGAAGCTAAAATTCTTCCCAGTATGAAGTTTTTCGAATGCACGAAGTTGCGAACATATAAATGTAGAAGTATGGCTATAGATCTTTATCACATAAGTCAGCTATTCAAAGAGTAAATCCTGATTAAAAGTGCGATATCGTGGAAATTGTGAAAACAATTTTTTTTTTTAAATATCTAGTTTTTTTCCAAAAAAAAGCAATAATTTTTTGAAAGAGCAAAACATTCCGCGCTTACCTTAGAGATCTTACCTTCTCCAGCATAAAAAAATATTTGCTTCTCTTTCATACTGAATAAGCCATTCCTTTCGTCTCTCACAGAATAAGAAATAGAAGGGATATTTCACTACGTTTAATTTAAAAAATTCACTAAAATTTTAGAGTCTGAAAATAGAAACAAACCAATTTGGGGTATGTGGAAGACTTGTAGCAAATTTTGCACTGCAATAGTGGTGGAACTTTTTGCCGGACCAACAATCGCTACAACAGGTGCCGTTTTCTTCTGGCAACCGGTGGTTGGGCAACAGGAACACTGACCAACACCTTCACGTAAAAATGCTATAGACTGCTCCATAGCAATTCGCTCTGTCCAGCATGAATCCCTGGAATGTATAAAAAATGCTGAAACAAGCAGATATTTGTCGCTTGGAAGAGAGAAAACATCCTTCGGGTCTGGCACCCATCTACCACAGAAGCATCTTTTCCGGCCTTGATGAAGACCGTGCAAATTTTAAGGACTAGCAAAAGCGAAGACTCTCAACCCAGGCTGGAACGCACCAGGCGGGCCGGTGCGATTATGCGTTTTTGCACTTCTCGTGCC